ATATTATTTAATAGCAAAAAATTATAATTTATTTAATGAAATTATCGTACATAATTTTTCAGTAATATAATAAAATAATGATCGATAAAAAAACGTGATTTTTATTAATTTGACGGGTGGTCCTAAACTTTTGGGTAGGTAGTGTATATTATAGCTGTACAATGAAATATGTTTGCTAATGAATTTATATTAGATATTAACTTATTTTTAGATTCAACTGGTTTAACTAATAAATCTATAGATGTAATGCATAAAATCAGAATATCAGTATATTCAAGAATAATTAATATACATAAAACAAAAATTGTATAAAATCATAAAACAAGTATAAAAGAATTTTTTCAAAAAAATGTAAATAGTATTAAAATATGTAATTTTAAAGTAATTATATGTTAATGCTTTATTTTTTATTTTATCAGTGTAATTTTTATATATATTTATATAGATGATTTTCATTCAATTAAAGAAAAAAGAAGATTAGATACTATTTGACTTTCAACAGTTCGTCATATAGCAACTTGTGTATATAAATAAATAATCAGTTATTTATGAATTCTTATTATTTATAATGGTGATTCAATCTATAATCCCATAAATATAGATACATCTAATATTAATTATCGTTTAATTAATAAATATTATAAAATTTTTGATAAATCATATTCAGAACAAAAATTTCAATGGATTCAGCAAAAAACAGAAATTGTTAACTTTAATCGTATTGAATTGCTTACAATATATAGTTATGATTATTTTATTTTAGAAAAAAAAGATGAATAATCAATGAATAATATTTATCTAGTTGAAATGAAAGAACAAGAATTACATTTTATGAAAGACTGACTATATAGATGCCTTAAAAATAATTCTAGAAATAATAACAATATACTCAATGGTTATATAGCTCCTATTGTTGCTGATTGGTCAGGCCAATTGTTTATTTGAAGGTAATAGTTTATTTGTATGTATAAGAATAAATAACAAATATAATTCCGCCTAGCATACAATCTTTTATTCTGATTCTTGAGCCTTTACATGTATTACTTAATAGTAGAGAACAAGTATTTCTAGTGTATTATTCATTTTTTAAACTTTTATTTCATTTTCTTTTTGAAGAATGTGTAAAATTGGTCAAGAAACCAAAATTTTAGCAAATAAATATATTATTAGAATTAACATATAATGATTAGATAAAAATTAGAACAATTATTAAAAATAAAATTTGAACCTTTATGTAAGGATATTGAATATCAAATGCTACTTGACTTATTAGATAACTTGATTTTAGCAACACTTGATATATATATAACACCTTTTCATTCTGGTTTATTTGACAAGTATGTTAAAACCATTTTTTGTATATGAACATTTGCATTATGTTAGAAGCGTAAAAATTATAACAAAGTACCATTAGTATTTTTGTCAGATATTTTCTATTGGAAAGATATTAATCATCCTTTTTTGGATGTATTAAAAATGTTTTTATTAAATTTTAATGATTATTCAGTAGAAAATATGCATAGCAAAATTCGAAAAAGCATACCTGTAAATATTAATACTGATAATATAATTAAACAGGCATGTGTAATTGATAAATTCCTAAAACCTTTTTTTAAAAAAATATATTAAATAACAATGTTAAATTTTATAAAGACTTTCATATTCTAGATGAATTTAAAGAGACTTACTAAATACGATGACATTATCCTTATACTCTATCTAAACTTAATTTTTTAATAAATAAATTAAGTTTATTTTTATTACAACATTTTCAAAAAATTTACCAAAATTGCAATCATAGCCATGTATTTGATATAAAAGGAAAAAGGGAAAAGAAGCCTAATACAATATATTATTTAACTACATTAAATCAACAGGTAAATATTAAAAATTTACCAGCTGGGTATCATACAGAACATCTTCTTAAGCTAGATATTTGTGATGTATGTGATACTAAATTAAGTAATGATAATAAAATATTGATTTGTGAGCATGGCTATCATTGGATAATTTAAGAAATAGATGTAGTCATTGTAAACAATATTATAAATGAGGTATGTTTAATAATGTAAAATCTTTTCTAGATAGATTACAAAATGGTAGTAATGAATTTACTGAAGAAAAATAAGAAATTGATGATGATGTAGAGGATGAAGAAGATGGAATAGAAGAGATAGATAATTTGGATCTTATAATAATAATTTCCAAATTCACAAATGCTTTGCTCAATGTAGAACAATGGTAAAGAGATTACAATAAAAATACTGTTAATTTTAATAAAATTTTTTCAATTACTTTTTGGTTTATCAAGTATTAGTATTATATGCTATATAGCTAAAACCTTTAAACATTGGATCAGACTGGATCAGAAAAAAGTAAACGAAAGTAAATATGCTAGTGAAAGGTTATGTAAAGTTTTATTAATCAATGCTTGATAAATTTTAGTATTACATATATAACTGTGCATTTTTGATATATATTATACTGTAAATTTAATATAAATAATTGTGTAACTATTGGATTAAATTGAATTTCGCTCATACTGAATTAATGTTGAAATATTATATTAGGATATCTATATAAAAGCGTCATTTCACTTTATAGAACAAGTTTATGTATCATTAAATCATATAATTTATTTTCTGTATTAATAAAGAATTCAAACTGAAAGTGCTATACATTATGAAATATGGAGACATATTGTGAATAAAAAAGTGAGACCTAAAGTCCTACTTGGGTAAAATACATTTAAATAAATCATGTTCTATATAAAAATTATTATTGAACATGCAATCTGAACTTGATTCATTAAAACAATATATCATCAAGCTCTTAGTTGAAAATGCTGAGATTAAGGCTAAAAATGTCAAGGTTAAAGCTGAAAATGCTAATCTAAGGCAGGCTATAGAGGAGAATAGGCCAGACTTGTAAAATTAGAGCAAAGTGATAAAGAAAATGCTAAACTCATTACAGAACTCAATTGTAATATCAGGAAAATTAAGCAGAAGTGAGTTATTGTTAACGTTGTAATACAGCCTAGTATATCTAATAAATCATTAGAGGATAGAAAGATTGATAAATTCTTAGTTTTGGTGAGTAAGAAAAAGGTAAGTGATATGATAGGACAGAAAAACAGGAAGAAGAAGTTTTTGTATAAGTCAGTACTTTTATGTTGAGATCAGGATGAACATTTAATTTCTTAAAATACTTCTTATATACTTTTTGAAGATCCCAATGATTCTGCAGAAACTGAAATTAATAAAAATAATTTTCAATCATTAGGAGAAACGATATCAGAGATAACATCTCAAGTACTATTTAAAGAAATCAAAGTTTTCCAATAATCTAAGATTTTATATAAGAAGTAACTTCAGAGTTGATAGATGAAGATGATATCCAAGTTATTGATGAGAATCAGGAACTTACAACTGACATGACAATAGAATTTGAGCTTGCTCATTTATTTTTAAAAGTAAGTATTGAAAGAAAGAACACTATACAAGCTAAACAGAAAGAGATTTTATGTTGCCACTCATATGGGAAAAAGTTCAAAGAGAGCGTTCAAGAAATTATTGTCAAAGATAATATTTCAGATCAGACAGCAAGAAAACAATTATTCTAGGATATAATAAAACATCTTTCTGGAATAACATTAGAAATATTATGTAAAAGAATCCAAAGGATCATAAAGATCTACAAACTATTCAAAAAATAAGAGTAGATAGAATTAGTTTTACAGCGCAGATTCTATTTCAAAGTTTATTAAGCTTTAAATCCAAATTATTTTGGATTATTTTAGTGGATCTGACTATGCTGATATGGAGCTAAAAAAGCCTAACTCATATTCTGGATGCAAAAATACAGAAAAAGTGAGACCTAAAGTTCTATTTGAGAAAAGTCAGGGGTCTGTTCCAAAAAAATTACCAAATGCTGAGGTAAGCATTTCACTTATATCTCAAACTTCGAAAACTAATCTAACTAATGCATCAGAGGCACAAAAGCAATGCTTAGATTCAGTTGAGATAACAAATGTATTATCTGTATCCTCTTCTAGTCAATCTAAGCCAACTTATAACCAATCCTATTTTTGCAACAAGATATTGGATTAATATCCTAATCTATATAGAGAATGTAGTAGTGACAATTTCAATTATTATGGGATGGCTGATGAGACATCATGCGGAGACTACATCTACCCATTATGCAAATTAGGTCATGATGATGAAGAAATAGAAGGTAGGTATAAAGCTGGATCTTACTTTATTAAATGTGAACAGCGTGAAATTGAGATAGTTGCGTAGTATCATTACTTCACAATAGTCTAGGAATTTTAATCTTTTTTTTTCGAATGAATAGGTCTATATGAAAAAAAAGAGATTAATTCGTGATTCGTTAATCATATGCAGATTACTATATATAGGCTACTGCATGATACCTGGGTTAATTAACTATACCTTTTTTATATGTATCGTAAATCTTAGCGTTCCTAATGTCAAAATGTCACAATATACCAATAAAACTTATTTTAACTGGAGAACTTGTTTCTCACTTACATTATGGTGTAAATACGCGAAAATGGTGGGAAAAACAAACTATAGAAAATACTTTAGAAGTAAATTTTTTAGTTCCTATTCGCGTGAAAATGAAAACTCAGGTAGAACTCAATAATAGAGTCTTTACAATACAAGTAACTGAAGAGTTTGGAAGCCCTGGTTATGTTTGTCAAAGTGAACAACTCAGCAGTAATATTGAAAACTCACCATCCCAAGCAATATGTAAATTATATCAAAAAATATTCAAAAATTCCACGCGTTATTCTGGAAACTTAGTATTTGGCTTGAAAAATAAAGATATTACAGATCAGTTACTTATGAACATTCCTTTTCGTCCATTTACAATTCAAATTGATAAATTTTCAATTATAATATATGGGCTGGGTGTATCTACAAACGAGAATTATTTAGGAGCAGGTCCAGGCTATATGTTCTCATTTATTCATAAGTATTCTCAAAAACGATGTGTGTTTGTTCAAAAAATAAGAGAAAATGATTGTATTATTCAAATATGGCATGAAAATGTCAAATTATTCGAATATGTAGGTAATACATCTGTAGAAGTTTGAAATAAAGCTAAAATATTGGGAAAATTCAGTGGATCAAGTTTATTTGGACTTGAGCATCCAACAACACAACGTTTATTATAGCAATTTCGAGTACCAACCTGCAAGCCCAATCAATGGAATAATAAAAGCGTTATGATATCATTATATGATTACCATCTTAAAAGAAGAACTATAAAGGCGGCAGATTTGTTACAATTTTTTATTAATTGGTCAAGTAAAGAAAATAATATCATTGAACTAACAATATCTTTGAAATCAATATACCCTAAAAAATATATTTTCAACGAACGGGAGTTACAAGCTTGAAATTCAATGTTAAGAACAGCTGGTTGTACAGATATCACACCTTTTGGTAATGATATATCTCCTGTAAGTTATAATTTATAACTTCGTTCCATTCGTATAGATTTACCGAACTAATATTTTGAGTAACATATTCAATAAATAAGTACAAATTTTGGACAAAATCTGTAGATCCTGCAGTTGATCAAGCATGTCTAAAAGATCTTTATCAATCTGGATTTTTGAGTCCGCATCCATTAAATGTTAAACATTCAGCAAAGACATTTTGGAATTATTTTGCTGAAAGTTATGAAAAAAATAAAATGGTGCTGATAGAAAATGTCGTATTCTCTCTATTATTACGCAAGAGTTTATATATTATGATTTACAAGAAAAGCTTGGAGTAAATATAATTCATTTGCTTCTTATGCTAGTATATATGGAATTTTATTTTAAATGATGATGTTAATGATTGTCTTTTATAGATTTCGTCCTATTCAATAAATACAGCGAGAAAATTTGCTAGAATTAATGGTCCAGAATGTACTCCTCTTCAAAAAGTCAAAGTTTCTCGTAATTTATGCCTAACTCAAGAAATACAAGATCAGTTTGAAATATTTTTTCAGGATAAAGTTAATGTTACTATGAGTTCATATAAGGTGGATCCAAAAACTGATCTTCTAATTCTTTATTTGCTTGATCAAAAACAAACTTTATGAGAACGATTTTCTGAAACCTATCCAAATAGAATGAAAAGAACAGCATTTATGGGATGTCTTGAAAATAGACCATATAGATATAGAGAAGATCTAGGAGGGTTATATTCTATTTGTGCTGAATATGAATATAATGTTTTTGATGATTTAGTAAAAATAATTTCTTTCTATATAGAAGATCACAAATATCGGGTATATATTTTTTTGTATTTTGTAGTTTAGATAATAAATAAGAAATTTTTTGTTGTAATTTTATTTGTATTTATTATTTTTATTATTTCAATAAATAACAGACAAATTTATTACATCAATTGGAATTAATAAGACAGCATATGAAAAGAGAATATGTTCGTGAAATCTGTGTTGAAAATAATGGGAAAATTGAGCATAAAGAATGCATTGATCACTGTTTATTATATGCATTTAGAATATGTGATAAGATGCATACTCTTCAATGCAGTGAATGTTCAAAATTTTATATATTCTTTGATGAATTGCAAGATATTATACCTGTTGATCAAATTCAAAGTTTGAATAAGAAAAAGGAACAATTACTTTATTATTTAGCATACCAAACCTGAAAAGTTTATCTCAATGCTCAATTTCAGGCTAGTTTGCTAGCGTTAGATAATGATGATGCAATTCTTATAGTAGATTATAAAATGCGTGTTTTATCAAAGTCAGCACGTGAAACTAAAACAGAATTCTTTGGGAAATGTGGCTAAACGTTACACACTATACTAGTATATACTAAGTCAAATGATCATGGAAATCTTGATATAGCTGCATATGACCATTGGTCAGAAGATACCAAGCAAGATGCTTGGTTTACTACATCTTCGTTTCATGCAGTATTTGATGCTATGCCAAATAAACCAAAATGGATTATCATTATTTTAGACAATGGGCCACATTATTATAATACCGAAATGATGATTATTTTATCTCATTAGAAAGATTGGTATGATATCGAGATTAAAAAGTAGATATTTTTAGAAGCTGGTGAAGCTAAGATGACCATTGATTCTCATCACATACAAGTTAGAATATAAAATATTTTGCTTTGCATTTATTAAGAAATATGTAACTAAACCTATTTGAATACAGATAGCACACGTTATTAAATATTATGTAAGACTTGGATTTGATGTAACTAAAGGAGAGGATATAGAAAATGCAGTCAAAGATTTACGTGATACTTCTATAAACCAAATGGATCCTAATCGTAACAAAAATAGGGGTAAAATAAAAACATTTGTTGGGATATCAAAATTGAATGAATGGCAATGGCCAATAGATGGTCCATTTGCAGATTATGTTCAGGCACAATCTTTGCCAAATATAGGCAATTTTGTCAATTATTCTCTAACACAAATAACACAATCTTCTACAACTGCCATTAAAAAACCTAATCCACAAACTTCAACGCCTTCTATATCACAATCATCTTAGTCTGTTCCAATTATTTCTTCAGAAGGTAATTTTTTTTTTCATGGAGTTTATCTCTTGACAGGATAAATGTAGCATCTAAGAACTGATCTCATTCTTCTCTAGACTATTTTTTGAGGTAAGCGTTTTCTAGTCTTCTACAGTGGATTCAGCTATAGGAGAATATCTCTAAATCTTTGTTGTTCTTCACAATTTACAGATTGACATCAAGTTTGTATACTTCTACTATTTTGAACATAATTGTTATTTTTTTGAATTGTAGAAAGAAAACCTAAACGCATGAAAATGGATCAAATAAAAGAATCATTGATAGCCAAAGATATTGAATTTGATTCTAACAGTAATAAATCGATGTTAGTATCACTTTTAGAAAAACAATTGATGACTGAAATGATGGTAGGTAATATTATATTTTCTTTTATATCAAATATTATATTACTTACAAATGAGTAATGTCATGATGATAGTCAGAATATGATCTAATATTTGCATTATACATTCATTATATCAAGACATTGAAACATCTACATCCAAAAAAATTGTCAGTAATGAAAATATACAAGTGGACATTAACTTCACGTAAGGAAACAACTACCTTCTTCACAATTTTCATTATATTTATATTCAAATAAATAAATGAAATTTCGGAATAGCGTTGATAAAGATTTTCCACTTGAAGCTTGATGGGCATTAAAAGAAACCCAAAAATTTGGAAAAAAAGGGTGGAATACGAATAGCAAAGAATATAGTTAGTTTATTGCAAGCTTTTTTTCATGCAGGTAATGCTAATAGAAGTGACTGTTATTCTGCAAGTGACATGTTAAACGAGCTGAATAATATGGCAAACAAAGGTGAATTGGAGTTTGAAACAATACCAAGACTTGAAACTATCCAAAATTGGATCACCAGATATTCTGCAGCATGCAAACGTGAAATGGCTGATATTGTTTTGCAGCGTGAAGAGCAAAGCCATTATGGTAATTCTAGCTCATAAGACTAATATTATAAGTATTATAACTGATAAGGCAATTTGTAAATAAATTTGTAAAACAAAATTCGTAAAAAAAAAGTATTAGGTAAATAAAATTGAAAAATAAACTTATATACAAGATAATAGTAATATATAAACCAGTTTATAGTAGCATGTAACTTGCTTGTAAAAATCGGAATTGCTAGTAATCATATATAATAACTTGCTGGAATCTGGCTGTCCTCTAAGGTAAACTATCAAATAAAACAATTTAAAGGGCGACTTTTTTAATTGCTTCTCGAACCGAAGACCTAGATCTCCACCACGCAGGTAAACTTTTAAACTTCAGACTTTTATAATAATTGCCAATAAGAAAACTTAATTCTTTTTTATAGATTATTGGAAACGCGAACAATGGGGAAGCGTGAGCGACTGGGACATTTACTACATTAATTGTATACCAGGACTTCCAAAGAGCAAGCGCATCGATCTCTTTCCTGCGAGTTGCATACTATTCTTAATGCATTTCTACCAAAAAGCAAGGAACATTACAAGGCAGAAGATTTGAAAAAGTCTTTAGCGGTAGTATTTTTTCTGCGTTCTAGTTAGATTCTTATTTATGTTAGGAACAAAATGATACTTTTCCCTGCAATGCAAATGAGCGACCCTGTCGCGTAAGGCAAATCGTGTTTTTGTTTGAAGTGGGAGGTATAATGCACCTGTGCCTGTAGCATATGTTAAAGATTTTTCCGTTGACATTGTTTTAACCACATCCTGCAATGCGAATGAGCGACTTTGTCGCACAAGGCAAATTGTGTTTTGCCCAAAGTGGACGGATGGCAAAAATGCATTTTTTGCCATCGGCGACTATTTATCAATTATAATATGATAAATATGATAATATGTAATACTTACTATATTTCGTTCTTTCTAAGGGCTGTAAAAAAGACATGGTGAACGTTGAGTTATGGAAAGAATACTCTGTAACACTCGGAAATTTGGCTGTTGAAAATTGAATTAACAAAGTGTGTAATAACGCTTTTGATTTTGTTTCTATGCCAAAAAAATCCTGATGTAACCTTTTCTAACTGGACGTAATTAGTATGAAATTCTAACTACTGGAATACGTGCAGTAACCGGGGTGGTGGTAACCGAATTCCCAAAGAAAAAATGTATGTTAACTTCAAAATTATTTTATATTATCAACCAACATTAATTTATATTTATGAATGTTAATAGCTTTGAAGCGAAAAACGTATGAGCCTGAAGAATCTGACGAATCTGATGAGAAATCTGACGAGTTTGAAGAGTCTTATGAGCCTAAACGAAGCAAAAGAAGAAAGAATAAAACGGATGATAAACTCCCGAAAGATATCAAAAAATGGTCTCCGGATTATGTTAAGAAATTTCTCGAGTTTAGAATGAAGGATTTAGATTTTAACGAAACCGATGTCAAGAAAATTCGCGATCAAAATCTTACTGGCAGAGCGTTTCTCCGATTAACTGAAGACAAATTAACTCGTAAGCCTGGTCTCTATGAATTAAAACCAAGTCTAGCAGAATCAATTATGGAATTAGTGGAAGAACTTAATAAAAAATTAGGTAAGTAATTGGGGTTATATGAACAGAAAGTCGTCATACCATAATTCCAAGTTTATCTTATTCGCATCATTTCTCTTAAGCTAAGAAAGAGTCGTAACTGTCACCAACCGATACAATACTTTCAATTCCAGAATAGAAAAAATATATTAATAAAGCATTAATTTTCATGCAAAGGCGACAATGGTCTTGTAATTAATCACGCATACTTATTTACGGGTTTCGTATAGTTAAATTTGTATAATATCAGTCACTTTATTTTATAGTCAACATGAAACTAATTGGGTAAATTTGATGGATCATCATGTGATCTATTAGTTCCTTAAAATGATTTTCCTTTTTTTGCAATTATTTGGTTCTTTTACATTCTCGAGAAATTCGTTGCGAAAAATGAGTTTTTTTTAAGATCCTTTTAAACTTAGGGAGAAATATACAATACCAACTACATAAATATATGTAATTTTACAAAAGAAAACAGATTTTCTTAGTTTATAAAGTTAGTTATTCAGATGGATTTTTAATAAATCGCGAAAAACTGAATTTAATAAGAAAAAAAGGAGTTAATTCATTTTTTGAGCGCAGCTCAGCTTTATTAAGGTAAACAGTTATTCAACCAAACTTGTATAATATTCTAACCTACAACACTTCTAATTTATTTTTATTCACTAGGTTCATTAAGTTTTTGTTTGTGACGACTCCAATAATCTCGCAATTTCTTCTTTGTCCAACCATCCCAAACCTGTAGTAATTCAGTTAAAACTTCTTCAACTTCCTCATCTGTTGGTGAAATGGGTTTTAACAATGGTTCTAGCAAATCCTTTTCTGTTGAGTAGTTAAATGACGTATTTTTTGTTTTTTTGATGATGGTTCAGAAATATGTTCAATATCGATATCTACAAAATCTTTATGAATTAAATCTGGAATGGTTTGAGTTTTTTTCAGAGTTGAGGATGATTGCTCAGACAATTCAGCAGGTTTTAGCGATCTTTTTCCTGATAATTTGGCAGCTTTTTCTGTTTCTTTTTCGGCTTTTTTTATATCCTTAACTTTGCTAACTACTACCTATTTAGCTTTTCTTCCCTTAGAATTAATGGCTTCTGTTTTTAATATTTCATGTCTGAATATTACTTTTAATCTTTTTAACCCAGCATTATAACATTTAAATAGCTTTCGACATTCTTTTTGATTCAATTGGCTATTATTTTTAAAGAGCGAATGCTCTAATGGAGTAACTAAACCAAAAGCTTCTACTAAAGATTTTGTTAAATTCCAAAGGATTGTATATCGATTATCAACTGAATGCTTACTACGTGACATAATATTATCATTAATAAATTCACCAAAAAGTAGGTTCATTCTCTCTCTTTCTTCTTGTGCAGCTTTTATTTGGCGTTTCAAATTCTCTTCATTAATAACATTACCTGTAATGTTTTATTTAATGAATTTCATACCAAAAGTTTCAAGAGCCTCATCAAAAGCATAATAATGGCCTTCTCTTGTTAAATTAATTGATCCAGCATAATATAGTAATTCTTTAAGTCTTAGATATCTTGCATAAGGTTGTCGGGCAAAACCCTGAGGTTTCGACAGGCATCGAAATCGAAACCCATCGAAAAATTTTGCCAAATTTTTTTATTAAAGGCAAAATTGCGAAAGTTTCAACAGGTGGCAAAAGTTTCGACGGGGCAAATGTTTTGACGATGCTATCAGTGTTAACTGATCAGCCTGTTGTGAGTGGTCAGTTCATCAAAAGGAGTTTTAGCGGTTTCTTTTCTTCGTCGTGTAT